AAAAATATCTCCCAAAATATCTCAGATTTGTCTTTTCCCAAAAAGGTCAACCAGTTGGATCGATCCGACCTTAGTTCAATAGATCTCAGCCAAGTTCGATCGATCCAAATCCAAGGTTCGATCGATCGAACTTCCTCTAGTGCGAAAAAGTTAAAAAGCCAGCTTGTTCAATCCGTCCTCTATCCAATCATTAAAGAATATTCTTTGCACAACCCCAGCTCATTTGGTGTGTCACTTGACCAACCTATAAAAGGAATATGATGTAATTTTTGAGCTAAGATACAATTCTAGGGATTATTCTCAAAGTAGGCAAGCTTTAGGGAGGAAGAAGAGGAGGAGGAAGCTAGAGACACCATTGGAGTTCTTCATCAACAAGGAGCAGATTTCTTCCATGGAGTTAGCCCTTGAGGGTTGGAGCAACATCACCAAGAGTGGCTAGACATCCTCTTGGGGCTAGAGTTAGCCCCAAGCATGCTTTCTTTATCTTAGTCTTGTGTATTATTGAGGGATTAGTGTTGTAATTAATGTTTTGACACTTTGATATATATATAGATCTTGATTGTTCAATGATTTAGTTAAATGTTTTCAATTGATCATTTCATTCTATCCATATGTCTATGTATGTTAGAATAGATGTTCATGTGCTTGTCTCTAGATTTTGTGATATTGATGCATGTCTATGTGTATTGATGCTATAGATTTAGAGATTGTCAAAACATAGTGCTTAATGGAATGCTCTTGTGATTTTCTTGATGGTTCATACTTATTCCTTGATGGATTGTGCCTCTCCCCTAGTTTATTTTCATGCTAGTAGTGTAGATGTAGTGTAGTTGTAGTGTAGTGTTAAATGGGAGGACAATCCATGCTTGTTGCTTGATGATCCATGCTTTTGAATGCAAGTAGCATATGTCTCTAACCTTGTGTCGTATTTGGATTGTGAGCTTAATGAAAGGATTAATGACTTGTTTTGATCTATTGTGCCTTTCACATGTTATTTAGACAATATATCCTTCATTGCTTAGATATATTGTGCCTTTCACATGATGTTTAGACAATACATGCTTGACTAGCTATCCTTGCTTATTGAATCAACCAAACACACACACACCAATATTGCAACACACCATTTGCCCTCATTAGTCACTTGTCAATGGTATAGAAATGCATTGCTTGGTGGTGATCTCTAAACCCCAAGACTCTTTTCTATCTTATTTGTTCTTAGTTGCATTATTTTGTTATCACTTAGTTTAATTTAGTTGCTCTTTTGTCTAATCAACTAACCAACCAATTGTTTGATCACTCGACCTACTAGTCTTAATAGCGATTCCATAACCTTATTCAACCCTCATAATCCCTTGGGACGATCCCTATTCACCCTAGCTATATTTGTAGTGAAAGGTAGTAGTGGCTTTTATATATGTAAAACTCTTGGCCCTCGCCTAAAATTCACACTCTCAAACTTGATGGTAGTGTGATAGACCAGTCAGTATTCATATAGAAGAGGTCTTTAAAGATGAAGCTGAGCATCTCCAGAAATTAAAGGGGGTTGTGATTGAAGAGAATAGCCCCACGAGGCCAAAGAAAGTTATGTTGTAAAAGCCACCATATGGTATGACTCAGCAGCTCAAACCTTTGTACATCAAGGTACTAGTGGAAGGAAGGCCCTTGGCAAGAGTTCTGGTGGACAATGGTTCAGTATTGAATGTTGTTCCAGTCAATGTTATGCGCATGCTTGGAAAGTCTCTTGAAGATATCATTCCAACTGATGTATCCATTAGTGGATTCACGGGAGGAATAGTGAAGACGCAAGGAATCCTACCGTTGGAATTAATGGTGCGAGATAGAACTTCCATCACAGCCTTCTTTGTTATTGAGTCTACAATGGCTTATAATTTGCTCTTAGGCCGCGAATGGATTCACCCAAATTTTTGCATTCCATCTTCACTCTATCAAATGCTAATATTCTGGGATGGAGATGAAGTAAAAGTGGTGGAAGCTGATAGCAGGCCATTTGTGGCAAGGGTTTACCATGCAGATGTTGAGTTATATAGTGAAGAATTCGTTCCAATCAGATTTATTAGAAAGGATAGCAAGGGTCGTCCAAGGAAGGCCACCATGAGAAGAACTCTTACGGAAGAAGATGTAAGGGAGCTTTTCCAAGAAACACCAAGGCCAACAATTCTACCTAAGGCCAGTGTTCAGCACTATATTTCAAACAAAAGTTTTTATGGAAGAGAAACCTAAAGAAAATAGAATACTTGGCCAGGTGGTTAATTGCTGCCTTGCCACGTTGAAAGTATATCTACCCGAACTACGGCTGGAAAGGGCTGCTGTTGCTGGTACTTCATTTTCAACCAATGTTTTGGAGATTATGGAAGATACTGAAGACAAGTTAGATGATATCCAGCTGACAGACTTGAAGGTGGCATAAACAAAGTTAAATGATCTCAAGGCCGAAGTACAAGATTCACTTTTGGAAGTTAATCTTGGAACAGAACAGGACCCTCGAACTACCTACATCAGTAAGCTTTTGGAACCGATTTTAGAGAAGAATTAATTTCCTTACTTCATGAGTACAAAGATTGCTTTGCATGGACGTATGAGGAAATGCCTGGACTTTCCAGAGAGTTGGTAGAGCATAAGCTACCAATCAAGGAAGGTTTCAAGCCTTTCAAGTAGCCTCCAAGGAGGATGTCCCAAGAAGTGGTTCTAAAGGTCAAAGAAGAGATAGAAAGGTTACACAAGGCTGGTTTTATAAGAACCGCCAGGCATGTAGACTGGATTTCCAATATAGTTCTAGTTGTTAAGAAAAATGGCAAGCTAAGGGTATGTGTGGATTTCCGGAATATCAATCTTGCAACTCCAAAAAATGAATACCCTATGCCTATTGCTGACCAATTAGTAGATTCTACTGCCAAGAATGAAATTCTTTCATTCATAGATGGGCATTCCGGATACAACCAAATTTATATTGCGGAAGAGGACATTGCCAAGGCGGCTTTCAGATGTCCAGGATCCATTGGAACCTTTGAATGGGTTGTCATGCCATTTGTATTGAAGAATGCTGGAGCAACATATCAAAGGTCCATGAATGCAATTTTCCATGACATGATTGGCCATTTCTTGGAAGTTTACATTGATGATGTAGTCATCAAATCCTCGACCAAGGCTCAACATCTCCATAATTTAAAGATGGCTTTTGAAAGAATGAGGCAGCGCAAGTTGAAGATGAATCATTTGAAGTGTGCCTTTAGGGTTTCAGCTGGAAATTTTCTGGGTTTTTTAGTCCACCAAAGAGGTATTGAAGTAGACCAAAATAAAGCAAAGGCAATTATTGAAGCAAAGCCACTGGCCACTAAGAAAGAACTATAAAGGTTTCTTGGCTAGGTTGGATATTTGAGGAGATTCATTGCCAACCATACTGGAAAGACTCATGTTTTCTCTTCGTTGCTGAAATTGAAAGGTACTGAGGAGTTCAAGTTGATGGAACATCACCAGCAAGCCTTTAAAGGTCTAAAAAGCTACCTGGCTAACCCTCCAGTGATGATGCCTCCAATCAAGAAGTGGCCTTTAAGATTATACTTATCGGCCGCTGACAAATCCATTAGAACTCTTCTAGCTCAAAATAATGAATGGGGAAAGGAACAAGCCATCTATTATCTAAGTAGGGTGCTCACACCAATAGAATGTAGGTACACTTCCATTGAAAAGTTGTGTCTTTCCTTATATTATGTAGCTATGAAGTTGAGAACCTACATATTGCCAGTAGCTGTGTATATCATTTCTCAAATAGATTTGATTAAGTATATGCTCTCAAGGCCTTTGATTACTGGGCGGATTGGAAAATGGTCATTGGCTTTGATAGAGTTTTCTTTCAAATATATTCCACAAAAGGCGGTCAAAGGAAGGGCAGTTGCAGAATTTCTAGCTGATCATCCTTCCACCGAGATTAATTCCGAAGTGTGTGACGAGGTGGATAATCTCTACCTTGACTATACACATTGGACTTTCATGTTTGATGGGTCAAGCACCTATGATGGAGGAGGAGCTGGAATAGTTATCATTTCACTAAAAGGAAGAAAAACCACATCTTCTTTCTTCTTGGATTTCAAGTGTATAAACAATCAAGCTAAGTATGAGGCACTAATCATTAGGTTGGAAATCTTGCTAGAGTTAAAGGTGGATAAGGTCCAGATTATTGGAGATTCTAACTTGATACTTAGCTAACTTTCTGAAGAATATAGATGTTTCAACTGGCATTTGAGGTCTTTCCACTCTTTGGCCTTGGAATTACTTTGCCAGTTTGATGATTTCCAACTCAAATATTGGCCAAGGCATTTGAACACATAGGCTGATGACCTAGCACAACTAGCCTCTCGAGTGAAAGTCCCACCGGGTGTAGAAGTGACCTTGATCAAAATTAAATGAAGGACTCTCCCTTCCGTAGGGTCATGGTATGAAATGGCAAGTCATTTCCAAGCTGATGAGCCAGAAAGAATCAAATCTGCCAAGAAGACGTGGGGGATTTTCAATGTTGATATAGATGGATTAGACTTGGAAGATTGGAGAACACCAATTATCCAATTCTTGCAGGAGCCTAGTACCAATGTGGACAAGAGAATTCAGCTTTTGGCACCTCATTATATTCTAATTGATGGAGATCTCTACAAAAAGAGTAAAGAAGATGACTTTTGTTAAGATGCCTTGGCAGGGATGAATCCATAAGAGTAATGGCAGAATCGCACCTTGGAATATGCAGAGCACACCAAGCTGGAATCAAGATGAGGTGGCTTCTTAGAAGGTACTATTATTATTGGAAAGGCATATTAAAAGACTACATAGAGTTTGCAAAAACCTGTATTGCATGTCAAGAACATGGCCTGCTCCAGAGAGTTCCAGGTTTAAACATGTAGCCAATAGTGAAAATATGGCCATTAAGAGGGTGGGCTTTAGACTTCATTGGAAAGTTAAGGCCACCATCTGCAGATGGTCACACTTATATGGTAGTTGCAACAGATTATTTCACAAAGTGGATGGAGGCCATTCCATTAAAGACTTATAAGCAACCAACAGTCATTAATTTCATCAAGAATCACATTATACACAGATTCAGAATTCCAAAGACTCTCACCACAGATAGAAGCCTTTCTTTCATTGGAAGTGAGGTTATTGACTATTGTGCTGAATGTGGCGTTCAAGTAATCAGTTCTACTCCATATTTTGCCCAAGCAAATGGAAAGGCAGAAGCTTCCAACAAAGTGATTCTTAACATCCTTGAAAATATTATTGAGAATCATCCAAGGGAGTGGCATCACCTACTTTCTGAGGCCCTTTGGGCTTACATGAATTCAAAAAGGTCAAGTACAAGTGTCACACCATCTATGCTTACATATGGACATGATGCCGTTCTTCTAATGGAAATGACCATTAGGTCTGCAAGGGTGGCTTTCCAAAATAAGCTAACTCTAGCAGAGTACAACCAGGCCATGTTGGTGGAATTGGAAGACCTTGATGAAGTCTGTCTTAATGCCTTAGACCATATTATTACTCAAAAGAAGAAAGTCATGCGGGCATATAATAAGAACGTTAAGGCAAAGACATTTATTGAATGAGACCTGGTATGGCAAGTCAAATTTCCACCTGGGGTTAAAACCTTGGAATATGGAAAATGGACACCTAACTGGGATGGTCCTTACTTGGTGGAAAAATTCCTTTGAAAAGGGGCTTATAGATTGATGGATATAGATGGAGGGTCCCATAAGCACCTAGTAAATAGTGTATACTTGAAAGAGTATCACCCTTCCATCTATGAAGACTGGAAAGCTACAGTCATTCTACCAGTCACATAATGCAGCTGGTAACGTCCTTTCCAAGTAAACCAAAAAGTTGGAAATGAGGCATGTTGGCCATACTTTGGCCATTCTGGTAGTCAAGTCAAAATGAAGGAAAGATTAATTCCAAGAAGTGGCTAAGTACTTGGAAAAGTACATTGGCTAAAGTTATGAAGTGGACTTAGTTGTATTTCCAATATCAGCTAATTTCCTAAGTATAGAAGATTTCAGTACGAAAGCGGTTACACTACATGGTCCAGGTTTCGTTCAAACTGGAAATCGATCGTCTTGCTTGTATATACATGTATTTCCATTATGGCAATTTCTTTCATTTCTCTAAATTCCTTTGTTGTTGAAAGCCATTTTATGACTATGCCTTATTGTTAATATATGTGAAAGAATCTTCCAGTTTCAGTGACTTAGACATTTCTTTCATATAAACTGTGAAAGAGGCACATGCGATGGATTGAGAAATAAAACATCATCCCATTAGATACTTGATTTCATTACAAAAGCCCAAAAATGGCCACTTAAACCTAGAGTTGGCCATACAAGTGATTCCAAAAGTATCTACTATTTATTTCCTACCACCATCCATTACACCATATTTTTTAAAACAACCACATAGAAGAACCATCTGGGATCAAATAGAGGCAAGAGCACCTCCAAGTTCCATCCAAATTTTCCTTGCTTCTCGAAGATTGGCCAATGCTCTAACCTTAGCTTCTTTAAATTTGAGAAATTCATCAACCCGTTTTTCCCGTTCCTTCCTTAAAGGTTCAGATGCATTTACAAGGGCACTAGCTGTTTGATCCAACTCAAATTCTTCACGTTCCACTTGTTCCAACTCTCTTTAAATCTTGGCTAGTTCTTCATTCAAGCCTTCTTTCTTGGCCATAAGCTTTTCAACTCATTCTTTGATTTCTAGGTAGGGTTCTAATGAGAGTTGGAAATCCTCAAGAGCTTTATCTTTGAGCTTGGCTTCCTTATCACATTCAGAAATTACGGAAGTACTGGAGTTTACATGGGTGATGATGAATTAAAGTTGGTGTTGCAGTTTGGTCAAAGAAGCCTAGATGGACTCCAGAAATTTAAGGTGTTTTTTGAGGGTCACTATAGTGCTGGCCAAACTTTAGTGAAAAGATAACACATCTTCTACATCATGGGCAAGGTAAGATAATAATTTTCCTTTGGCCATAGTTATAACATCATCTGAGGTTCCTGGAAGCATGAGAACACTGGTGCTTAAGGTGGAAGTACTGGAAGATTTGGTGGCCTTGATCACTTTATAAAGATCGGCCAAAGCCGGAAGAGCTTTTCTTTGCACCATAAAGGAGGTTGAGGTAGACATAGAAGGAGTGGCCTGAAATGAGAGCAACTTTGTATTAGATAGAAAGAAAGATAGGAGGCAAAGTTTAAAAGTATGGAAGTTTGCCTCTGGAATGGAAGGAACTTGGCCTGCGGAAGTTCCACCAGTTTTGGAAGGGATAGATATTCCAGTCGTAGAAGTTGGAATGGGCAGACTTTCTTCTTTTTTGCTGGTCAAACTTTCCATATTTGAAGCTTGAAGGGCTAAATCCTCTCCTTGGGTAATTTGTTGGTCCAAATGGATATTCATAAAGTTGTGTCCTGTGGAAGAGCCCTGTTAGTTAAGTTGGAAGAAATTTACAAACATTTTTTAGCAACGAAGTTGGAAAGAAGTGGGAATAGAGACTTACCAAAATAATTTCTTTGTTTAGTTTCGATTTTTTGTACTTTGGAGAGTCTCTAGGCTGTTGGAATTCTTCTGTTTTTTCCAGATCAATCATGATTTTTCTCTTTGCTTTTCCAACAATCTTTCCAGAAGGGCTGCGCATTTTGAAGGCTCTACTAGAATGTTGAGTAGCGGTTTGACCCTTGGAAATACCAACTTCTTCATCAAAGGAATCTTCATCGGAAGAGGAGAATTGGGGTTGAAATTCCTTTTTGACAATAGCTAGTCCCTGCAAGAGGAAATAGAAGTAAGGAACAAGAATCTAGAAAAGCTAAGTACATGAACATTGAAATACCTGATGAGTCTTTCCTTTTCCTTTTACTTTGTACAAAGCATCTTCCTTTTCTTCCTGTATTTCCTTTTCAACTTCTTCTTCTTCCTCTTCGTCATCGCTTGAGGAAAGACTTTTAACACTTTCGTCACCACTTTTGGCTATACCCTTAATCTTGCCAGTCACTGTAGTGGTTTTCTCTCCAGCTTCATCCTCCTCACTTTCTTCGAGTACTTCCTCTTCTCCTTCTGAAATTTTCCAAGTCTTAGTATATGGAAGATTGATGGATTTCATAAGGAAAGATGGAAAATAGAGTTTATAGTGAATACATTTGTACCTGGAGATAAAGGCTTGAAAGAAGCTAGTATGGAATAACAGACAGTTTTATGATTTTTTGTCCGGGTAGAGGAAATGTAAGTTGACCACCATACATTGAATTCATTGGTGGATTGAGGCTTGCTAGTATGGCCTTGGAAGTTAAAAACAGCTCTTTCTGCTACATAAGCATGATCAATTGCTGCGAATTGTTCAGCATCTGTGAGACGAACACGTTGGTCAAAGAATCTGTTATAAGATTTGTAAGGTGGCAAAGGAATCATTTGGGAAAAACCCATTTGCCTTGCCAGCTGGATTATAGAACTCAACACCGCAGAAGCTATTCTTTAGAGTAGGTTGGGCAGTGCTATAATGGAGGTCACAAACAAGAAGAAAACTGGCCCAAATATTTTTCCAATCTTCAGAATGTTTTTTGGTAGACACTTTAGGAGATGGAACCAACCATGATGGCATGCGACCAATGGCGATTAATGGATCAAAGAACTCATCGTTACCAGTCTCACATTTATTGTAGAAATACTCAAAGTTTTCAGCAAAGCTGAAAGGAGAAGGATCTGCTATTGCCAAGGAATGGCATAGAAGGGATTTTCTAGTTGGAGTGATTAAGGATGAAGTTCTATTTTGGAAGTACACTTTAAGCCACATCTGGAATAACCAAAAGGGGCCTTGGAACCTTGAAAACTTTGAAGTAAGAAGGTCATGAAAGCCTCTGTATAAGTGGGAAAGCACAAGGGGAGCTAATGCCAAATCCCCATTTCTAGCTAAGGAAACTGCCACTTGAACGAAGTCCTTTGTGACCTGGCCAGATGGAACACACAGTAGATGGCCAGAAAGCCAACAGATCAAGAAAGCGATGTGTTCATCTTCTTGAATTGGGCCAGTTTTCTTACAATGTTTGATGAAAGGAAGATGCGAGGAGATAAATTTCTTACTTCCAGTGGTCTTAGTAGGGAAAATGAATGGTTCAATGAAGAGGGTGGCGCTTACATCATCCCCATGGGGTTTAAGACCTGTAATGCAACAAATATCTCTCAAAGTGGGGGACATCATTCCACATTTAAGATGAAGAGAATTGGTGGTCGAAGACCAAAAGAAAAGTGCTAGAAAGAGGTGGTTCGGATCAAGGGTAATGGAGGACTTACTAATTTGAATAATGTCAAAGATGCCTTATTTTTTCCATTGGGAAGAAATCTTTTCGTCCCTGGAAAGATGATTCACCCAAGAAGACCAGGACGAGCGATATGTTATCCAATTTCTTATACTGAAAGAAGGTTTCACTTTTTTCCCTTTCTTTGAGATAAGGGGAAATTCTGAATCAAAAGGGAAGGGGGATTTACCGGAAGGATAGAATTCGGCCAATTCAGAGGGGGCTACGTCAGTAAAGGCTGGACCTAATCCAACTGAAGAATCTTTGAAGTGAATCAGAGGTTCAAGATGAAGCCTAGCAGGGTTTAAAGACTTCAAGAGTACTTGAACTTGGTGGCTATGGCTTCGAGTCTTGATTTTAGTTTGAATAGAATGAGCTGGCATAGACGAGCTAGTAGTCTGTTTAGAAGGTTTTTTAGGAGCCATGGTGTGTAATTTTTCGTGGATTGAGATTTTCTTTCCTAGGGTTTTAAAGGAAGAAAAGAAGATAGGAGGAAAACTATTATTGGCAAATGATAAGGATGAAGGATATATATATATATATATAGACGAGAAGCAAACGAGGCGTTAAAGTCTTGATATGCCTTTTTGAGGATGAGTAGTTGGAGAATTTCAAAATTCAAAAGGAGTAATAAGTAGGATTGGGAAGTTTGATAGCTTTTAGTCGTAAATGGATAGGATTTTCTGTGGGATACGGGACCATTAAAGGAAGGGATTGTCTGCAGAAGAAGCCGAGGGAACGACCACGTGTTATAAGGATCTTCTTTTAATGATTATCCTAAGTCTTCCAAGAGTTCAAGTCGTATTTGCAGGGAGTGGGGTATGAATTTTGAAATTCGAAAAGGAAAAGTAAAGAGATTTTTATGGGGAGTCATCTTTTGGGGGCGCATGATACTTAGGAGGTTGGCGGTTGGAAGTAATTAATATAGTAGGAACCAAGGAGATTAATTGTGTTAAGTATTGAAAGGTTGAATAACCATAATGGTGGTATTTTGATGACGGAATTCAAATCCCATGCCTTATTTTGAGGAAGATCCACAAGGCGTGGAATTTGGGGGGCATATGTTTATTCCATCGTTTTGCCCAATGGAAAGAAGACAAGTGGTGAGTTTTGACAAGCTTGCCATATTGATTTAGTGTTCTAATTATTCAAGAATAGGAGAATGTGACGTGGAATTGTTAATGTGGTAACATGGCAAGTCTTAATGGAACTTGCCATGTCAGAGTGTAATACTGATAAGTATCCCTTGGAATATTAAAATCACGTGAAATTAA